TGCAAACTGATCAAAATGTATACAGTTATTCTAATTCTTTCCCATCCTTTCAAATGTCTAGGTGTTGTTTAAACACATAGTCCGTGGTATGTAATATTTGGTTTGCTTCGAGTCCAAATCATATTCAACAAACAAGAACATAAAATAAAAAGCGATTGACATTCACACATGTACGTAAGTTTTGGTGTGTGCGACTTGCCCTAATCAAATGTGTCCATGCACAGCCTTCCTCACTTCCAAGCAAAATCTTCCCCAGAGTACTGGCGGCAGGGAATATTGCCTTTGCTTTGTTAGTTGAAGGGTTTATTAAATGGTGTCCCCTTCCTTCCCCTCTTATCCCGTAGTCAATTTTTATTTTCCTTCCATTTCCCACGGGTAGTTACTTTAACGTGCATCTTTTATTTGAATGGGCCTCTGCACAGTGCTGTTTGAATGTTATTTATACATCACGTTCTATATTTCATATTGCTTTTATTTATATTATTGCATGGCTTTTGTATTCATCTTTTATTAGCACAAGCAAGTGGTCGTCTGTAGAGTATTACATCTTGAATTTTTATGAGTAAACATTAAAAAATTATATGGTATGTTTCTACCATTGCATAGCACATATGATGTACAAAATGGGAAGTCAAGTGTGTCTGTTTAAGTTGATCTCTGCTAAGAAGGCTTTTGAATTATAATGTGAGAATTAAAACATGCCAGTGTGGCTATTCTTGAGTCATAGACTCTGATGTTTTCCTAAGAAATAATAAAAGTGCTGCATTGGAATTTTGAGAATCTAATCTTGGGTGGATGGCGTGGGAATTAAACATTGTATGGACTTAAACTAGACCAAAGTGTGATGATTAAGTTTTGTTGGGGGAGGAGAGGTGGAAAGTCTTGAGAAAGTCACTCTTCTCCTTTGTGCCTGCTTGGGTTGTTGTGAGTGTGTTTGGGATCTGTGGACAAAACCTACTTACTCACTGGGGGAACAAGCCTGGGAATACAAGGCTCCTTCTTGGAGTGTCTACAGTTTGTGGAGAAGAGAACATTCTGTTTGGAATTTGCCTTTTCTGTTTTAGCTAAAGACAAAGGGTGATAAACTGAGTGGGAAGGTGGGGGAAACCTTGGCAAGAGGGATTAGAAACGTAAGGCTGGTGAAAGGATCTCATGAATGCACCTTTGGTCTCAGTGAGTTCAGAGTGTTTGTTTTGGATGGATTAGGTCCCAGTGTCCTGAGAAAACCCATGGCTGGAATTGCTAAACTTGCAGCTGGCAGTCCTTGAGAACTGGAGAGTAAGCATTGGTCATGTCTCGTTTTCAAAAAAGGCTGAGATATGGATTCTGCTCTGTTGATAAGGACTCTGGGCCGACTTCTAAACCAAGTCAGTTGTGACTCTGTTATCGGTCAGAGTCCTTGGTTGTCAAAAGCAGAAACTCTCTGGGTATTATGAGATGGATACTGGATGTTTTGTCTAGAAATCCATAGAGCCGGTCATGGGCTCTCAGAGAGGCTATGGAGCTTAAAAGAAGCCAGCCCATCCTGAGGGAATGGAGTCTCTCGGTCTGAGCATGCACTTCTGCTTGCTGGTTTTGATTCTGCATGTCGATAACATGTATGCATGCTGAGTTGCCAATGGCCTTCCTTCGAAACCCAGAGGCCTTGATAGACATAACTGTTGACTGAGGCTCTCCATGCTCAAGCTGCCTGGCCTTGGGAAGGCCATATATATATATATATATATACACACATACACACACACACACACACACACACACACACACACACACACACACATGTCTTCCTTCTTTCTTCCCTAATAGAAGGTGAAGATCTCCAGTCCTCATGAGATCTATCTCATGGGCAGAAGCCCCAGGAATAGGAAGGACACTCAAACACTGGGCAGTTGGTAAGGAATGGTAGATGGTCATTACAATGATCCTAAGGAAGGATGACTTCTCCATTGGAAGATGGCATAGTGAACTATAGCCATTCCTAACAGCTGAAACTCATACTCAGTTAAAGGATGCTATGAAATGATTATTTTTAATGGTAGAAAGACCCACAAGTCTCACATACAAGTCATGATTGAAGCCAGATACTGGTACTGTGCGTGATGCCTTTAGGCCTCTCAAGGGAGGAAAATTGACCCCTTAATGAACTGGCCAAAAGCATGGGGAGGGCTCGGGGAGGGCTCATCAGATCTGCTTTTGACGATAAACTGAAAGAGATGAAGAGAATTAGAATCCAACTAGATCCCTGGGAGATGAAACAAAGATCTCAATTTAACAGGCTGGAACTTAATAGAATATAAATATTACATCTTGTTCTGATGCTCAAACATTGAGACCCCTCTATGAAATGGATAAAGAGATAGCCACTTAGCAATAGTGTGTGTGAAAATCCCTTTAATATTTCAATCTCTTCAGTTGAATGAAAACACGGAGCAAGGGCCAATAGCCTGAAATGCTATTGGCCATCGTATATGCTAGTGGAGATAAAGTGACCATCACAAGAGAAGCGCCTGCCCCATTCTACTCTATGTAGCTCAAATGGCAGGTAAAATAGTCATTAATTAGGACACACTCTCGAATGCTGGTTGGGACAGTGTGACCTAGGTATAAGTGTGTCTGAAGGCTTGATGTACAAGGGCTGATAGAACAATGAGTTGTTCCCCCTGGAGAGCCAGGAGATGAGGCAGCTCTCTATGAATATAGGCAGGTATCTGGAGGTAGAAGTGTAGGTAGTGGCAGAAGCCACACTACCGAGTGACTAGCTAGAAGCCGTGGATGGATGTCAGATGCAAAGAGAAGGGATCACGGTACCAAGAGCTGACTGCCTGTGAGGGGGAGTAGAAAGCAGCAGGCCACTGGTGACCACTGACTAGTGTGACCAGCTGGTTCATCAGGGAGATTTAAAGATTTCACAAGCAATTTTGCTCCTATTAATTTCACGGGCCTTCAGACTCCCAGAATGGCAGACGATGTTCCCCAAGGCTCTTTTTCCTCGGCAGGTTATTGAAAATTTTAATATGTGCACGGTGCTTGTGGAACACTCAGAAGAGTTTTCAGATCTGGGAATATTAATTCATCATAAAGCTGTACTGGAATGCCTTAATAAAGAGCAACACGAGACAATAAATATTTGATTTGAAGAGATGGGATCATAAACCCATCATCCAGGCGCTTGCGCAGGGAAAGGCTTTTCCTAATTGGCATTAGGCTGCCATCACACAAGTGATGTCTCCTTAGGAGGTGAGTAGCCACCTCCCCCCCACACCGAAGGTATTTTATTTTAAGCTGATATTTAACCTGAAGGTGCTAAAATTTCCTGGCTTATCAAATAAATTATAAAGGTAATTGTTAGGGGAATTTATTTTGCCTGAACCCTTGAGAAGTCTCTTTCATACTTTAGAAAATATAAAGAAGTAGTAAAACAATGCTTCTGTCAAGAAAATTACATATTGATTTATCATTCCATACTGGGATTTGGACTAACAGGTCAAACATTGGGTTTTGTTTGTTCATAAAACATATCCCTTTTGAAGGTCACCTAGGGAAGGGTCTGTACGCCTTCAGCGTGTGTCATCACCACCCTGCTTACTGGACATTTCTATGGCGCCTCCTGTAGCCATTGTTCCGCCCGAGGAGAGTATGGCCCAACACCCAGTTTGGAAATTAAAAGTTGAAAAAGCGGTGCTTTCAAGGTTTTTGGCCTTTACGATGCAAACAAGCGCATGTGTCTTCGCCAGCAATCGTATTTATTGAGATAAATTAGCATAAAAGTAGTTAGCCGGCAGCAGGAGCTGAAAATTACAGCCTTGTAAAGGATCCCCAAGTTAGAACAACTGCAAGCATGCAGTCACCAAAAACGGCCTTGTAAAAGGTCCGTGTTGATCGCGGGACTAATTTCATTCCTTTGGCATTTCTCTTCCTCGCTCTCTAGTGTGTCTTTTGAGCTTACTGTTCTGAGATAATGATAGACCATCCGAGAATAAACACTGCCTTCCAGCCATTTTGGATTGGCTCAACATTTATTCACTTGTTCATTTATTTAAAAACAACAACAAGGGCTGGTCGGGTACATTGTTGAGTGCCTACTATGTGTAGGGTCATACTCTCAGTTCTGGGACTGGTAGGTGAGTTGGGGAATGCAATTAAATATGTTATACTAGCCATGTGAAGCTTGGGGTGTACAGAGAAAAACTGTGCGTTTGAGGAGGTGAGCTCATAGAATTGATATATGAGCCATCTGGACAATATATAGAAAATAGCCAGACCCATGGCAGAGAGAGGCCAGGACAGCACCTGCAGAGACTGGGGGTGGGATGGGGTTGCTGGTCTTGCACTTGGGAAACCTGTATTTGAAACCACAGGGAAGGATTCTTGTAACGCTCTATCAGAATTAACCAGACAAGTCATTCAAAATGCAGATTGTGGGAGCCAACTGTACAATATTTTCTCCCTTGAGATGATTTTTCTGGTAGTGTGTATTAGCTAGCATTTGCTGCTTTAAGAAGTAAAACACCTAGGGCAAAATATTTCATAAAGAAAAAGGTGATCTGTCTTTTCTCAGGATTCTGGGGTTTGAGATCCAAAAAGCAAGGCAGAGGTTGTGGTAAGGGCGTTTTACATCTACATCCTATTATTGCAGGAACGCTAGCAGCTCCGTGTTTCTCTCCCTTTTCTCATAAAACCATGGGAGTTCAGTCATAGAGGCTCTATGCTGGTGTTCTGCTCTAACCATTTCCCAGAGACTCCACTGCTAAACACCAAGTTTCCACCCTAATATCACTGTCATGAGATAGTGATATCTCAATTTGGGAAATTAAACTTCAGCTTCAGTTAGGGGAGAAATCACAAACCAGAGCCAGGTGGGTCCATGTCTGCCTGACTGTGATGTCATCCAGATCTACCTGACTGTGACATCATCCAGCTCTGCCTGAATGGACATCGTCCAGGTCTACCTGACTGTGACGCCATCCAGGTCTACCCAGGTCTGCCTGACTGTGACATCTGGCACTTTGAGAATCTGTTTCCATCAGAATTGGGAGACTGAAGGATCTAATGCCTGTGAGCTTTTTAGAAGTGAGATTTTTAGAGTGTGTGTTCTTTCCCAACATGGAAAGGCTTGGAGCAGATTTTGTCGAGTGAAATGAGCCAGGCCATAGGGAACACAGGCTCATTAATGTGTGGGACCTAAAACGCTATGCTGAGAAGCAGAGAGGAGAATGGTGGTTGTCAGGGGCCAATCTGAGAGGGATGAATCATGTAGTCCTATGGACTGTTGTAAAGTGACTCCAGTTAATTATGCAAAAATGGAAATTGATAAATAGGCCCTGCTTGAATGTTTTCACCACAAACATGACAAGTATATGAGGTGATAGGCTCGTGATTAAATTATTGTAAAATATATACACCTACAGATTGTTTGCACTATAAATGCAGTTTTGTGTTTTGCTAGCACATATTTGTGATAGACTTCATTATAACTTCCTTTTGATTCAGAGTATTGAGCTCAGAGCCTCATTATGACAATACATGCAAAATACACCGTGACTCGTATTTCACCCATTTTCTCCGTCTTGCCCATCTCTTCAGATGGTCCTGTTCTTCATTCCAATCCTGTCCCTTCCATTTCATGTCTTATGTGAAAGTCTAGATCACAAATATGAGTGCTTGTCTGCTAATCCTAGGGTGGTGTGAACAAACAAGTATTCACCCTAGATCGGGTAGCAACAGTAGGCGAGAGTAACCATGTCACCCCAGGTCTAGCTTAGTGAGTCTGTTAGTTAAACCAGGGTTACTTAGAGTAGCACTGGTGAAGAAGTAGATTACTTACCACAACATGTGTGGCTTTTGGAGATCCACATCACCTACGAAGAGTCTCCTTTCCCCAGGACTGTGAACTGATACTTACAGACCTCTGGGGAAGGCCTATGCACACCTGCCCTGTGGATGTCTTATTCATCTTTCCCATGGGAAATTATTAGTGGGGCCAATCTTGGCAGAGTCTGGTACAGGTTTTCATGGCTTCCATTTCAAGCCATGTGCTTGGAGGAAAGTGTTCTACAGCAGAGAGGGAACATATTTGCCTCTTTGTATTGGGCTTTATTTCTCTTAATATCATCTCCAGTTTTATCCATTTTTCTGCAAATGGTTCGATGACATAATTTTATTCTCTGTGGCTGAATAAAACATTGTATACATATACCATATTTTCTTATTATCCCGTCCCCCCGAGACTTAGTATGTAGCCTTCCCTGACCTGGACCTCTCTATGTAGACCAGGCTGGCTCTGAACTTAAAGGCGTGAGCCACTTATGCCTGCATACAGCATTTTATTTATCCATAATGTGTTAGTGAGCATCTAGGCTGACTCTGTTACTTGGCTGTTATTACCAGCACTACAACAAGCATGGATGCATGGGCATCTCTGTCCATAGTTGACTCAGGTTCCCTGGTAGCCAAGAGTGGAGCATTCTGGTTTCTATGGTGATGGTACCTAATTATGATCTCACCAGCAGAGTAAAGGATCCCATCTCCACCTTTTCTCACTAGAAGTTATAGTTTTTCCTTATGATATCCATTCTGACTGGTGTGAGATAGAATCTCACTAGAGTTTTGATTTGCACTTCCCTGCTAAAAACGTGGGAATTTTTTTTTAAATAAACTTATTGGCCATTGTACAGTCTTTGAACATTCTCTCTTCATTCACACTTACTGATTGGATGATTTTTGGTGGATTTAATATTTTAAAATTTTTTTGATGTATTCCAGAAATTAATTCTCTGTCTGATGTGTGGCAAAGATTCAATTATAACCATAATGAAGCTTGGGAGAAGAAAGGCTTACCTTGACCTTGAAGTGAGGAGGAGATGCTGTGAGGCTGGAGTCGGGGATCTTGTGATAGTTCAGGGGAAGAGAAAGGCGGAGCAAAGCTGTGGTGGGGGCTGGCGAGGAAAGGGCAGAGCTAAGTCGTGTTTTAAAGAATAATCGATCAAATGTGGCGGGAGCAATCAATTGGGTAACTCCTTGGCTTCTGGCGGTAATCCAGGGTGCCTTGTGTTTAGGGAGATGTTTCAGAGTCCTTGCTGTGAAGGTGGCCTGGGGACTCCCAGAGGCTTCCCTGCATGTTTTTCCTTCCAGAGGACTACAAATTGTGACCTGCCTATTGCAGAGGGTGCTGGAGTCTCCTCTTCTTAATTACCAGCCCCCATTCCGTTACCACTACTTAGCTCTTGTAGATGAGGCATCCCTGCAGCAACCTGATGCAGAGAACCGCCTGGTTGTCTTCTCCCTCCAAAGATGCTGAGGGAGGCAGGGCAGGCAGACAGGCGTCTCCGGGGATACAGGCTGAGGCTCCCCAGTGCGGCATGGGGATTAACTGCTTCTGAGTTCACTGACTTCCTACGTGGCCTCTGCAGCAGGCACGGATATGCAGGCCTCCTCTAGTCTTGACCCAGACCATGGGGTGGACAGAATTCATCCTCTTCCATGGCACAGCAGTGTGCCAACTCCCAGGTTCAGCATGGAAGTATTCTTGATTCTAAATTTAACAGCAGTACTACTGAACATATTATTATCTACTCTTCCTGAATTCACAAACTCTCATATAAGTTGACTTCTTACATCTTCTTCCAATAAATGTGGACCATGTGCACCTTACAGAAGAAAGGGGACCTCAGATCCTGAGCAGACAGCCTACCTAGCTTTAGTGGAGTGGGCTTCTGGGCAGGCCTATAGGAGCACACCTATGTGGGAGGGTAAGCTGGGGAGAGACCGGGAATGAACTGCCCTGAGCCCTTGTTCCTTGATGTTTATTAGTCCCCGGCTCCTCTCATACTGGAAGTACATACCGAATGAGGCAGGATTCTGTTGATTTTTTGCTTTCTTATAGGACTCACTGGTTTGTGATCTAATTTATTTGGCTGTCTCGGGAGAAAATAAGGGAAGGGGGAAGTCGCACTTGGCAAACCCCTGTCGGTGCTGTCATTCACTGTCTCCTTTGTCCTCCAGGGTCTCTCCTAACCTCATTGGCAGTCCCCTCCATTCCTTCTGCCAGTGCCCCCCCTCCAGTAATTAAAGAGGGAATGAGGATGTCAGTTTCACTTCTCACGGAGACCTGGAGCCAACCACAGATCTTGTTTTAGGGCACGGCCTTTCCCCTCTAGCATCTTTAAATCCCCTAGTAACTCAGATGCTTTACCTTACTGAACAAACAAGCCCTGCTTTCAGAGAGAACAGTGAACAGCAACGCACTTCCAGTGGGGGAGGGAGGCTCTTTGCATGGTGCCGCTCCATTTGAAGCATTTGTTCATGGGGGGGGGGTGTCACCTGCTCTCCAAAAGGCAACCCTGGCGTAGAGGACAGGCAGCACCACTATACTAACAGGCCGGTGGTTTGGACCAAAGTTCTCTTCGCACACAATCTGCCAGGATCCTTATCTTGACTCAGAGTAAGGGCACATGAAGGCAGGCCGCTCTGTCTGCAGAACCCAAGGGAACAGGCCTCCTGTCATGGAGGTTGGTGACGTCCTTCTGGGCAGCACCGTGAAGCTATGATCCCCCCCACCATGGTGGTTCATGCCTTTGGTTCCCCGGTGACTAAGGTAGAGAATGTATGTGATACCATGAGGTATTAAGTCTCCAGCTCAGTCTTTCCTTCCCATTTGTATCTGGTCCACAAACATGCAGGCCAGAGGCGCTACTTGCTCTGTGGGTCTCTGAAACAGAGCTAAATCTTCTTTGGGGTCCTTTAGAAAAAAAGCCACCTTCCAAGGGCAGTGTTTCTCAGCGGCCCTTCATGATTTCTGCCCTCCTCATTTGGTAGGAATAGCCGAGAAAGACGAAATGACCCACCGCAGGCCCTGTAATTTCTGAGCAACTGAATTACCACTTAAATTCAGGCCTCCCAGCCAATGAATGCAGACTAGCTGTCCCAGTTGCCAGGAAAGGTGACTTGAGTCAGAGTTTGACCTAGTATGGCCACCTGCATCTGATCACCTGGGGCCTCCTCCAGAGCAGAGGGTAGGCGGGGTGATCTGCGGCCTGCATTTCCAGCAAGCTCCTCTGCTGTCTTGTCACCATGCTGATGTTTCAAATCAGGACGGAAATCCACCAGGATTAACTAGTGTTCTGCCCTTGTTCCCTGCAGACGTCCTCGTTGTTCTGCCTTGGCCCTAATTGCTTTCTGTTTGTGCTTCTCATGCTAAAAGGCACAACCTGGCTGAGAAGAAAGGGCTGGAGGCCCGGTGACAGCGACGGTTAGTGCCAAACACAGCCGCCTCCTCTGTCATTCCACGCTGCCTCTTCACGGAAGGAGAGCAACAAAAACTTCTTTTCAGCTGTCACCGCTTTCTCGAGGAGCTCTGTCTTCTCACTGTCATTTGCTTTTCCAAATGGCCTTGCTTGTTGTTAGCTCAACTTGTGCGGGCTCCTCGAGTGGCATCAGCGTTTAGTTAATAGTGACTCAGAAATGACAGGAAAACTGGCTAGCTGGGCAGTACGTCACGAGTGGGGATGTATGGTGTGTGACCTGTTTTTGCCAACAGGTGGCCAGGCTTCAGATAATAAAGACACTGCACTTTTGTCCTCTGACCTGTTCCTCTTTAAAGGTGTCTGGCTTCACAGGTCAGCTACCAGTCCCTGTGGTGGGAAGGGGACGTGGGTCTGGGGAGAGGTGAGGTGTGTTGGGGGGAATGGGAAGAGAGGAGGGTATATAAGAACAGCAAAGAAACAAATAAGACTGACCTTTACTTAGGTTAGAATTCCCAGAAGTGGGTTACAGTGTGTCAGAACTTCTGGCCCCCCTGCTGGACCTCTTATCCATAGGGACACCGAAGTTGGTTTTAATCCCCGTTGCTCCAGATGAGTGGCTTCTTCTGGTTGTGTCTTCTTGAAGACCGGAATGAGGAATGATGCAGGTTGTGAATGTGTTCACACATGAGGTGTGGTCCTGGTGCTGATCTGGGATCTTCGCTTGTCATCAAAGACAATCTAAAACTCAAGGCAGATTCAGATTTGTGAGGGTTGTGGAGGCAGGCCTGCTCTGAACGAGACTTTCCTGTGGTT